GGCCAACACCAAACTGTGTTCCAAGTCCACGCGAAATCGTGTAATATTTTAACACAGCTTTAGTGTGTTGATTTGTTATTTATATCATGTAATATTTTACACGAAGAATAATTAAACTTTAACACATTGTTTGTGTACATTTTACACAACTTTGGGTATTAAATTTAACACCAGCTGGTGTTGTTTTTTAATATTTTACCGGGTTAAATTTAATAATAAATTGGGTAGGTAAATAAAAATTACGTGTAAAAAATATTTTTATTTAAAAAAGTAATTTATAATTTCAATAATCATATTTTAAGTTGAGTGAAGGAGTAAACCTTAATCAATGATATTAGGTATATTATATACATTATACATTTATATATAAATTATAATACATTTATATAAAACATTAAACATTAAAAACTGTTCTGAGTTAAAAACAAATACTGCCCTGCTTAGCTAAAAGGCCGCATCTACAATATTAAGTAATAAAGGACACAAGATCATTTTAATTGTTGAAAATTTACTTACCTAAAGAAGATAAAGTTTCATGGGCTACTGGCAAATTTGCGATTACCCACTTTGTTTTCAAGTCGAAGTTTAAATTTCATATTAAATATGTATATGGGTGTGTTTATTTACGTTGTAACACAAAATAATCTTTTATAAAAAAAACACCAGCACAATATATCTATAAATGCACCGAATGCAAGACTCGCATTAAACAAAAGTAAAGTAAAAGTATTTACACGATTTACACGATTTTTACCCAAAATTTACACAAAAATTTTAACACATAAATAGAGAATTTACCCAAAGATATTTTTTGCAGTGTAAGGATAAAATTTATAGTAGTTTTTACTCACAATTTTTTAATATTACGGACACTACAAAAATTGAGGTGTAACGTGGAATGGCTGTTTTGTAACATCATTGAAAATCCTAAAAATCTTAACAAATAATTACTTGTTAAAAAAATATATTTTATTATTTTGTTTGGATCACCCTGTACAATAAAACATATTAATTTTCTTACATGGGTATACTTGGCGTATACATAATTATTATCTAACCTACCACATATAATATTACTAAAATAATAAATAATTTAAAAAATAATACGAAGTATTTTGAAAATGGCGAATGCGCCGGGATTAATCACAAAATTAGTATATTATTGACCTATAATATAGTGGTATAGTCAATGATTGGAGTTTCTTGGGAACGGTCAGATACGATAGCGCAGTTCCGCAGTAATCCATAATCCATAAATACGGTCCAAAGAATTCCAAGTATTTTTAAGTAAAGGGGTAAGACGGTCGTGAATTCTGGCAGACAGGAACCCAGAACACGCGAGAAAGTATGTATGTACCGTGTAGTGCGGATCTAGGCGGCCGACACTTAAAATGCATCGAACGACACGATTACTACGTGACTACTACCTACGTAACGTAGGCTACGTTACACGTATTATTAAACGTAATTATTTACTCGCTATAAAAAAAGTTTTTTTAATAAAATGAAGTTTTCCAAACATTTTTATTACATTACACATTACACAATATTTTAAATTAAGTAATAATAAGACCATATCTTATTAATAAAGATCCAATTTTGAGGAAAATGCATAATTTAAATTTATATAGGTGGTTAATTCTTATTGTAAAATGTGTTTAGGAAATTTTAATATAAGAAAATTCATTTCCAAAAAATCACGCATAAAAAATAGTATACTATATATACTATATACTAACTAGGGATGGGATTTTAGTTATTTTACCTTTTTTTAACCGATGTAACTATTTGAAAACCAATAATGCCAAAATGTGTTTTAAAAGATTTTCTTTTATATGAACCTAACTTTTTTTCACCTTTTTTACCTTTTTTGGAGGTTTTTTGCTTTAAACTACCTTTTTATACTTTTGTTACATATTTTTTAATTTGTCAGTTTATTTTCATATATTTGTTACCTATTTTTACGTATTTTTACTTATTTTATTTTTTTTGTTCTTTTTAAAATTTGCGCCAATATTTTATCCAGGGCGTGCAACTCAACGGTATAGAATTTTTTCTTATGGTTACAGACTGTAACAGTAACTTTCTTTACAGTTACCTTCTTTGTAGTGACTCACTACTAGTGAGCTTATGTTCTATCATAGAACTTCTGTGTAGTGAGTGTCACTTAGTAAAACACAGTCATAGAACTTCTGTGTAGTGAGTGTCACTTAGTAAAACACAGTTTATTGCATAGAAATAGTTTATTGTGGGTATGTTCTGTGTTTGGGTATGCGGCTAAACAAAATTATAAACGAAACTTAAACTTTTAATGTTTTTTTTTACCTAAAATGCTGTTTTTTTAACCTAAAATGCTGTTTTTTTTAACCTAAAATGCTTTTTTTTAGTACCTTTTTAGTTAAGTACCTATTTTTTAGTTTTTAGTACCTAAATATCCCATCCCTAATACTAACCTATAGGTTAGAAAGATCAGCTGATTTTTTGAGTGTATAAGCGTATCAACGCTGGGAGTGGCTTTAATATTTTATACAGCCACGTGGGACGTAGGCGTGGATAACTATCACATGTTTATAACATGTATTCATGTTTATACACACTTTTGCTACAATTTGCTACTGGGAATTAAACCCAAGCCTACTAGAGCATACAGGATATTCATATATTTTATTCAACAAAATTATTAAGGTTTAATTAGTGGGTCCAGTGGGCTATAGCACAATTCCGCGCGCGTACGCCTTTAAGTGAACACTTTTGTAGTCCTTTATTTTGATGTTATGTTTTTAAAAGTTGGTTTTGTCTCCAAAGCGAGATTAATCTTTATTTCAAAATAATATTTATTAATTAAAATTGCCCACTGTTACTCTATAATATAGAGTCTATGTTGCACTACAAAACCGTAAGATTTTTGTATTAAGATAATTTATAAAGAATGGTTGTCGAAAAATTGTCAATTAAATTTTCTCTGTGCAAATGTGTTTTAAACTTTTAAAGCTTTATTTTAATTTATTTTTTCTTCTAAATTTTCTTAAAAAGTCCTCCAATTAAAAAAGGTGCATAAAACATAAAAGTAAGTGTCATGCCTCACGTTATATAAAATAAGTAAGTGAGGTTTGAACCGTCTGACAGATGTCGAATTTTATGATTGGTCAAAATCGCAATGTCATGTACTGCGGTAGATAATGATATCGGCCAATTGCTTTATTACTACAATAAGTAGGTATATAATAATAATCAATCACTTCAGTGTCGAGTGTTTATTTAAAAACTTGTTGGATTACTGTGGTAGTAATTTGACAGCTCCATAAAAATACCTAAAAAAATGGAATAAAGTCCTGTAGAATCAAAAGACATGTCTGTTGCCGTGCTAATCACAAATGTGCTATGCATAGCACGTTTGGTTGTATATACCTAAGGGCGTCGCGACGCTAGCAAATGGGCAAGGAAGGGGGCAGAATTATAGATAGACGATACGAATTGTAGGATATATAAATACAATTTCAGACCGAATCTTCGGTTTTGGCAAAAACATTCGTCCAAACATTCGGCTTGAGCTAAAATTGAGCAGAAGATTTATCCGAAGACGAACATTTAACAGACATACTGCCTGTTCAATAAAATCATACACCTCCGATCTTAAAATAACGGTCGGCCAAAAAACTCACCTTCGGTCGGACACTAACAATTTGTAAATCATAACCAATAGCGCCGCGGCCGATGCCGCAAGTAGGTAAAGGAGTACCGATGGAAGTACAAAGGTATGGATCGACTCGAAATCGAATTCTGAACAACTTTTTTTGCCTGTTGCCTGTAAATCTGAATAGCTTTTTCTTGAATCCCGCGGTGGCTCGTCCAGGAGACTAAGTTTTTCCAAGTCCATTTTTTTCGATTTTTGTCCTTTATCGGAATTCAAAATTTGGGGAAGAGTTGCTACGGGAAGGTCATTAAATTGTTGTGGTACTTAAAAATTGGTGGGATCCGATAAAAACTTTTCGAAAAGGAAATTGGGCAAACAAAAAACACGAATTGAAGGGTAAAATAATGCATTTTCGAATTGAAAGAAAATGAACGGTAATTTTTTGTAATCAGTTTTAAATTGTTTTTATTGTTTTATTTTAATATAAACTACACTGTTTAAAAGTTTCACTATTTTATTTAAATATGGCAATTGTTTCGCTACACAGTAGCATCTTCAGACATTTCTTTTAACGATCTGAAGATGCTACTGTGTAGCGAAACAATTGTCATATTTAAATAAAATAGTGAAACTTTTAAACAGTGTAGTTTATATTAAAATAAAACAATATTAACATGGAGTTTCATCAAGTAAAAGTCGAAACAATTAATTATTAAATTGTTTTATTAAATAAATCAAATTTTTTGTACCCAAAATGGTTGGCTGATTTAAAATCGATGAGTCAAAAAAATGGCAAAAAGTTTTCTTGTTCGATTCATTAAAAAAAACATCAATTACTCCCAAATTTGGGACTTGATAAAATATAATCAAATGCCAGGTCACTTATTTTCTGATTTATAATTTCTAGCAGTTAACTGCTAGAAATTATAAATCAGAAAATAAGTGACCTGGCATTTGATTATATTTTATCAAGTTAACTGCTAGAAATTATAAATCAGAAAATAAGTGACCTGGCATTTGATTATATTTTATCAAGTCTCCAAGTCTCCTGCCCTCTGTCCCCCTTGGCGAAGCCAGTGATGGTATACAATTTTAATACCTGTTTTCATAGCACGGCAAAGAACACGTCTGCTTTTGATTCTATAGAATCAAAAGCAGATGTATACAGTAACTATGTACTTAATTATTAAAAATATCGTAAAATTACTTTAATTTTTTTTTTATTAAAATGTGATAAATAGTGGTCGATCTAGATTGCTTATTATGTGGTTGGGATTTATTATATAACCTGAAAGAAAACTTTAAAAATATTAGTTGTTCGGTTTATTATATGTTATAACATAAGAAACATTTTAATAAAATAACATTTTTGGATTTTTTAATGCTCTTTAATAATATATTTATAAAGTATGTAATGTGTAGATTAATTTAAAATCGTCAATCATGTGGAAGCCATTTTAAAGTTCTGCGTGTGTTTGTATAGCTCTCAATCTGTTCCTAATGCCAGTTCCCAAACTTTCGTCAACATTAGAAAAATTAGATATAGCCCTTTCTTGCAAAACAGTGTTCGCCAACTTTAACATCATAACAATATTATCCATCAATCTTTCCCTTTCTTCTTGTGTCAAAACCCGTTGATACAATATCCTTGCCTGTACATAGTTAGTATCGTCCTGAGCATTATCCGTTCTTTTAGCCACTCCTACCAAAGGAAGGGCAGGAGATAAAGCGTTGGCCCTGGCGTCGGAAACGGGACCCTGGAAACTGTTGGGGTGGTAATTTGGAGCACCTCCTTGGCTGTTAATTGTGCCATAGCCATCTCTAGTATAGGTGTGCAATTTAAAGGGACTATTTACTGGTAGTTGAGTTGGGTTAGGTCCTAGACGATGCCTATGAGTATCACCATACGAATAGAGACGACCTTGCAACATTCTGTCGGGAGAAGGCTCAATTCCTTTAAAAAATATAGTCTTTAGTTAAAATGTTTAACTTAAAATACCGTTTCACAATCTTTTAAAAAGTATTTTACCTGGTATAAGATGGGCCACATCGAAAGCAATTTGCTCAACTTCAGCAAAATAGTTTTTGGGATTTCTGTTTAATACTAAACGTCCTACAGGAATTAAAGGATATTCGGCGTGTAGCCAGACTTTGGTCACGTCAAAAGGATCGTAAGGACTCGCTGCTGCTTGTTCTGGAGTCATTATTTGGACATAGAAACTCCATGATGGATAATTTCCTTTTTCAATTTCGTTGTAAAGATCTCTGATTAAGTAGTCTGGATCATTACCAGCTATGTTTGTGGCTTCGTTTGGGGGTAGATTTCTAATTCCTAAAAAATATCATTTAAATTATTTAAAATAGTGCAATAATAAATTAATGTGGAATAGCAATATTTTTTTCCTATCGTATTTGGTTTTTCTTAATGTGGTTTGTTGCCAAGAGACCCAGTTTCTTACCTTAATTTTAAAACACTTGTTAAGTAAAAAAATAAAGCTTTTATGGACCGACCATTTCAATAAAAAAAATTAAGCTGTTTTATGTGCAATTTTATCTGAAACCCTTTGTAGGTAAAGCCATAAAATTTTAAGTTGTACAAAAATTATTAGTACTTATTTAATTAACCAACCTTGATTCGTAAGATAGTGAAATTTGCAATAGAAGAATTTTCCATATTCATTGACAAAAGCAAAAGTATCGGACCCATATCCATGCATGTTCCTATATGAAGCTGGTATACCACGATCAGAAAAAAATATTAAATTTTGATGTGTGGTTTCTGCTCTTAGCGTCATCATATCCCAAAACATATCGGCATCTCTAAGATGAGTTACGGGATTTCTTTTTAGAATATGAATAAAACTCGGAAACAATGCCGCGTCTTTGATGAAAAATATTGGAGTGTTATTACCAACCAAATCCCATATACCATCTTCTGTATAAAACTTAACGGCAAAACCTCTAACGTCCCTTACTGTGTCTGGGTAACCCATTTCGCCGGCTACTTGAGAAAACCTTAAAACATTTTTCGTCATTTTTAATAAAACATTTAAAAAAATTCCTTATTTTTAATATTATTATTTCTAATTTTTAATTTTAATTAAAACTATATATCCTTGCCTCACTGCTATGGGTGTCCTCTTTCCAATTTCTGAAAAAACCTTTGCAGCCGTATACTGTGTTATATCATGGGTTACTTCAAAATAACCAAATGCACCAGCTCCCTTTGCATGAACCACCCTTTCCGGGATTCGCTCCCTATCGAAATGAGAAACTTCGTCTATGAAAAACCAATCTTGAAATAATATCGGACCTCTTGGCCCCACTGTCAACGTTGCATCTTGAAAAGGATTTGGATTTCCTGCTGTTGTCGTCACGGAAACATGTTCACCCTAATAAATTTGTTTGTGATTTTGTGATATACAAAATTAATATGCATTTTAAAATAAATATTTTTCCTTTTAGAGGAATAGTCTAGGCTAGAGAACAGAATACACTATAGTATTTTTAAAAGTTTTGATTCTGTGAACTAGAAAGGAGACAAGTTGAAAGCGTTTACAATATATTAAAATTTATTTTCTAAAACTAATAATCCGAAATATATTGTTTAAAAATAAAACACAAAATTGTTGTGTCAAATCGAGAAAAAGCTTTCTTACCTGATGTTCTTTGGAAAAATTTAACAATTGATTATCAGACGGTTGTCTGACTTGATAGCCACCACCAGGCATTTTGAAGAAATTTGAAATTCTACTATGTTAACTGTATACGCACTTACTATATATATACAATTTAAAGGAAATAATTTTTTTCGTGCCTATACCGCATAAACATGTTTGCTTATTAAAAGATATGTGGTCTACATTTTTTAATAAATAATCACTGTTTAAAGTAAATAACATTGTGCAAAAAAACGCAAAATGCAATTTAGACCTATCTGGAAAAGTTTTTTAACTACTAGCCTGTAAAAAAAACGTTTAAACCATTAAAAAAAAATTGACCACTGTCAGATCTAATCTAACCTAACTCTCTACTTTTATCAATTATTATAATTGTGCGTTTTATCTATTGTTTAACAACTGGGCCGGAGTAACAAAGGCTACTTTTATCCCGCAAAAATGCACTCAGGGGCGTAGTTCCGATAATGGGGAGGTGTGATTGTAAACATATATTATAATGTCGATTTTGCCGACTTTTGAATCTCAAAATGTAAAGGAATATTGATTGGATAATTTTTCAAAATAAAACGTCCACAATTAGGGTTGGGACAGTTGAAATTTTCAAATTAAAATTTCAACTTTGAAAGTTTCAAACTTGAAATATTTCATTTAGTTGGAAAAGTGAAATTTTTAAAAATTTAAAATGAAATTTTCAATCCGAAAATTTCAACATTGCCTGTGAAAGTTTCAGAAATTTCATTGAGTTTCGCAATTTACTGAAAATTTCGCATAAATTTCACATGCGGCCTCTCCTGGGACCTTTAATAATAATTTACAACAGATTCCGAATCGACCAATAAGAACGAGTTATCAAGCGTCTGGGCGTTTTTGTTTAGTTCGGCTTGGATTTGAATAAACTATAAGTAATTATTGTTACTTATATGCATAAATTAATTTGAATAATTTAATTCAGTTACCAATTTAATTTGTAAATTAAATCAGACTATAAAATTTTTTAAAAGTCATGATTAATTTATACTTTTACTTTTGCTATAATTGCATCGGGCTATAATTGCATAGGAAAACGGATAAAAAATGCCTTTGGCTCATAAAATTTTCATGAAGTTTCTTCAATTTTCGTAAAATTTCAGTAAAATATTTAAAAATAATAAATATATATAAATAGAAAACAATGAAAGTGGCACAATCTCATTAGCTTACCAAAAAGTGCTATATCTCTTTTAGTTTTAGTAATTTTAAAAATATTTAAAAGAAAATCTCAAGAAATTTGTGATAAACATAGGTATTTACTATACATATATATTAGGGTGATTCATTTCCGCAAAAAACTTTTTTTTTCTCGGCGCTCAAGCAAAATATTAATCTACCTATAGAAAAAAAAAATTTCACCAAGGTAGAGCTCTTAATATCAATTTTAAGTACTTGCAGTTTAAATTTAAAGTTTTCCCATTTAAAATGCATGTAAAAAAAATGTTTTTTTTTTCAAATTTCTAATGCTCGCCCGCTTTTTACAATATTGTGAATCGGTTTTATGGACCTTATAGGGAATTTCACGCTCTTCAAAATTGTCTTTGTGTTTTTTTGTGTAACTCGTAGTGGTTCGCCAGTAGGAGTCATCAAAGTTCAATTTTTTGAGTGAACATTTTTTTTTTGCAATTTTTTTTAACAATTCGCAAAAAATAGTGAAAAAAAGAGCTGAATCGTAAAAAATAGTCTTTTAACAAATATTTGATGAATTTACGGCCATTTTTATATCTTAAAACGTAAGTAATTGATAAATATTTACCAATTATGCTATTTAAATTAAACTTTCTTATTTACGATATAATTCTCTACAACAATAACTTTTCCAGAGTTATTATGATTTTTGTTGACAATAAAAACAATTTACTTTTTCGTTAATTTAAGAATTTTGTTAAAAAAATTGAATAACCTTCATTTATATTTATTGCTATATTACGGAAATGTTTGAAAAATTGCAGAATCTATAGATTCTTATAAGTTGCAATTGTATATTTGTTGTTTTTTTATAAATTAATGTGTTTTTTTATATTTATTATAAGTCAAAAATCATAATAACTCTGAAAAAGTTATTGTTGTAGAGAATTATATCGATAGTAAATAAGAAAGTTTAATTTAAATAGCATAATTGGTTAATATTTATCAATTACTTACGTTTTAAGATATAAAAATGGCCGTAAATTTATCAAATATTTGTTAAAGGACTATTTTTTACGATTCAGCTCTTTTTTTTCACTATTTTTTGCGAATTGTTAAAAAAAATTGCAAAAAAAAATGTTCATTCAAAAAATTGAACTTTGATGACTCCTACTGGCGAACCACTACGAGTTACACAAAAAAACACAAAGACAATTTTGAAGAGCGTGAAATTCCCTATAAGGTCCATAAAACCGATTCACAATATTGTAAAAAGCGGGCGAGCATTAGAAATTTGAAAAAAAAAACATTTTTTTTACATGCATTTTAAATGGGAAAACTTTAAATTTAAACTGCAAGTACTTAAAATTGATATTAAGAGCTCTACCTTGGTGAAATTTTTTTTTTCTATAGGTAGATTAATATTTTGCTTGAGCACCGAAAAAAAAAAAGACTTTGCGGAAATGAATCACCCTAATATATATTATTGGTGCAGGAGCCCACAGAGGGGTATGAGGTAAGAGAGGCAAGTTGCCATGGTCCCCGAGTGAGCTTATTTCAATAATAATATATTACACTTAAAGTGATTGAAATTTATTAAAAGTTTCAACAAATTTCAGAAATTTAGGAAATTTTAATAAATTTCATAAATGTCATGAAAATTTCAAGTGAAATTTCAAGTACAAGCAAAAAGTGAAATTTTCCCAACCCTGTCCAAAATACTTTGGTGTGCCTTTATCTTTTACTTTTGTTCTTACTTATTATTACTTTTTCTAGTGTGGCCTCTGATTTTGCTAACTTTTACACAGTAAAAAATCGAATTAAGTAAATCGCCAAAAATCATTGAGTTAATGCATTGCTGAGTGAAATGTTGAGTAATTTTGTAAATATTATTCTAATTTTTGTATATTTAACTAAAAAATAATCCAAGTTACACTTTTTTTGTGAAATTGCAATCAAAATTGTGTAATTTTACTAAATATTTGTACAATAATATTTATATAACCTTCCCAAGCAACACAAAATCGTCTAATAGACGTTTAATATTTGTCTATACCAATGGTATATCATTGGTTTATTGTCTACCTCTAATATAGGTTAAAATGTCCGCCTAATATAGGTTGATGCATATTATAGCAATATCCATATTTTAAACGTCTACACTATACGTTTATTTATAATACAAACTTGACAATTAAATATCTGTTTTTTATAAAGGTTACATTTTAATATATAATATACCAAAATTAAACGTTTATCAAAAACTTCTAAAAGCCATAAACGATATACGTTAATATTGAATATTATTTTAAGGTGAAATTTTTTACATAACATTATTGTTTAGGCCGCGGCTCTGCTAATCTGGAAAAAGAAAATAAAAACAAAAGTTTTTACATTTGAATGATTTTTTAATATTTTTAGAGCTCTCTAATAATTCCATTTTCATTAAATTAAAATCGTAAAACCATGCATGGTTTTACGGTTATCAATGCATTGATAATTAAAATTACAGTAAAATTTACTATATTTATTCTTTGCATTTAATTTAAGTGAGGCATATTCTTTCCAGATTTGCAAAAACTTACCTGTGTAAGTGTAGTAGTAACTCCAAGGTAAAAAAAAAAGTTTAAAAAGAAACTGAGCAGATGACAAACGAATATATTTTCATAAATAATTATTTATTATTTTAAAATAACTAATTAAACAAATGTTAAGTTTTAACATCATTGAATCATTGCTTTGATAATTTGAGCCAATCTTGACAGGCTTGTCCTATGGCTTTGTCAGTTATTTCCCTGGACTTGATCTTTTCCTTGAAAGGACAGTTTTACTGCCTCTGTAAAACAGTAAAAAACAATGTTACTAAGTACTACTAAGTACGACTGTTTACATATATTTTAAATAACTTTTAACTTTTTATTCTGTGGTAAAATAAAAATATAATAAATAAGTGGTTATAATGTACGTTTATAAATAGTATACCATAAACCAATAATAGATCTTTAAAAAAATAAAAAATATTGATTATTTTAAAAATTCTAAAGTGATGTTAACCTAATCCAAAAATAAACCATCTAATTTAATGCAAAACGAATATGTCGCATGGTTAAAACTTCTGCAAAGGTTACGGATTTTTGCCGGCTTCGTCAAATAAAAACACCAATTACCTATTAGTTATTTGGTGCAAATTAAGTAATCTGAAATTTCAATTAAAGTAGGTATATACTTACTTTATTAGCTGTATTCCCACCAAACAATACAATAAATTAATCGCTATCCACTCACAGTAAACAGTAAACATAACTTATACGGCAGCCATTATCAACACAGGACACATGTGACCGGTAACGGCAAAACGAAGCGTCTAGAAGGAATGATCACGTGACACGCGCCTATTGGTTTAAACAATCGTCTTAGTTACGAGTAATACCGAAACAGTGCGAACCATGAACATATGTATACAAGTATTATGAAAACTGAAGTTCAGTTACTGAACCACGTAGAAAATTATTGGTACCTATAAGTAACGTTTATTTTTAGGAAAACGATAGACAACTTTATTTTTATTTAGGTACAAAATCAAATATCCAGCTAATATATGACATAAACATTGTTTCTATCGCTAACAAATTTGTTAGCGGTGATAAATACATTTAAATATTACTTGGCTTACAACAACAAAATTTATAGACGTAGATTTCTCGTATTTTTAGACGTTGAGCTTACATAAAAATATATATATAAAAAAAACGTTTACAAAACACTTGAATGTAAACAAATTTGATAAGGGTAAATAATTCCAATTTCATAAACATGCTTTATAGTTGTTTTTATAATATATATATAGATTGGGTGATTAATATAAATTTATATATTAAATTG